TGAGTTCTTATAATAGTGGTCTTATACAATATTTGTCTTTCTGTGACTGACTAAATTCACTCAGCATAATGCCCTCCAGATTCCTCCATGTTATGTGTCACAGCTTCATGGTTGTTCTTTATCGTTGAGAAATATTCCATTGAGTGGATATACCATAATTTTTTATCCATTTGTCCGTTGATGGGCACCTAGGTTGTTTCCATCTTTTTGCTATTGTGAATAGTGCTGCAGTGAACACGGGTGTGCACATATCTATTCGTGTGACGGCTGTTATTTCTCTAGGATATATTCCAAGGAGTGGGTTAGCTGGATCGTATGGTACTTCTATTTCTAGCTTTTTAAGGAAGCACCAAATTGATTTCCAAAGTGGTTGTACTGTTTTACATTCCCACCAACAGTGTATAAGTGTTCCAGTCTCTCCACAGCCTCTCCAGCATATATTATTTTGTGTTTTTTGGATTAATGCTAGCCTTGTTGGTGGTGAGATGGTATCTCATTGTATTTCTCTAATGGCTAATGATTGTGAGCATTTCCTCATGTGTCTGTTAGCCACCTGAATGTCTTCTTTGGCAAAGTGCCTGTTCATGTCTTTGGCCCATTTTTTAATTGGGTTGTTTGTCTTTTTGTTGTTGAGGTTTTGCAGTATCTTGTAGATTTTAGAGATTAGATGCTGATCAGATTTGTCATAGCCAAAAATTTTTTCCCAATCTGTAAGTTGTCCTTTTACTCTTTTGGTGAAGTTTTTTGATGAGCATAAGGGTTTGATTTTTAGGAGTTCCCAGTTGTCTAGTCTCTCTTCTGGTGCTTGTGCATTGTTATTTATGGTTCGTATTGTGTTTATGCCGTGTATTAGGGCTCCTAGTGTTGTCCAAAGCTCACATATTTTTGTGTGTTCCTAATTGGTAGTATTGTTGTAAAGGAGCAAAGTAACTTCTATCCAGAAGGATGATAATAAATCTGTGCTTCATATCTGAATCATTTGATAACCAACCAGCTAACCAACAAATAAATCAGAAAACTCACCATCAACATAACTCAAAATAACAGTGATTAAAGGAGCTAGAAGTTTATTCCTTTATTTCTGCTTGTGTAAAAGAAGCCCAGAGGTAGGCTGTCCAGGACTAGTATGATTATTCCACAAACATCTGGGCCCAGCTTCCCTCCATCCTGATGTTCTTTCTGTCAACCTTGGTATATGACACGTTTTGGTCCAAGATGGGTGCTTGAGCTCATGTTTGTTGATAAACTCTGGCCTGGCCATCTAGGCTGTTCAGACACGTGGACCTGACCGGGTGACACTTGGGCATGTAAATTATGTAGCAAAGGAAAACTGACTACCACAGTCCTCAGGTAGATACCTCATGTATGCAGGAGACCACCGTCATACCATGCAGCCCAGATATTTCCTGCCAATTAGCAAGACTCATTTAGCTTTCCTAATGTGGGACGGAGGGAGTACAAGTACAAGGTCATTGGTTAAAAGACCCCACTTTCGGACCATGGTCTCAGGGAGCATCTAGCTCAATTGATGTAACACAGTTTATAAAGACAATGTTCTACATTCTACCTTGGTGAGTAGCATCCGGGGTCTTAAAAGCCTCTGAGCAGCCATCTAACATACTCCACTGGTCTCACCCCTTCAGGAGCAAGGGAGAATGAAGAGAACGAGATACAAGGAAAAGATTAGTCCAAAGGACTAATGGACCACAGCTACCAGGGCCTCCACCAGACTGAGTCCAGTACAGCTAGATGGTGCCCGGTTACCACCACTGATTGCTCTGACCGGGATCACAACAGAGAGTTCTGGACAGAGCTGGAGAAGGATATAGAACGAAATTCTAACACACACAAAAAAGACCAGATTTATTGGCCTGAAAGAGACTGTAGAAACCCTGAGAGTATGGCCCCCAGACACCCTTTTAGCTAAGTGGTGAAGTTATTTCCGAGGTTCACCGTTCAGCCGGGGATTGGACAGCCCCATAAAACAAAATGGGACTAATGAGGCACAGCAGCCGAGGGACAAGGACTAGAAGGCATTAGGGAACAGGAAAGCTGGTGATAGGGAACCCAAGGTTGAGTAAGGACTGTGTTGACATGTAGTGGGGTTGTTAACCATTGTCATAGGGCAACGTGTAGTAACTGTTTAATGAGAAACTATTTTGTTCTGTAAACCTTCATCTAAAGTGAGAATAGCAGCACAACTGGAAGAACGTAATCGATGTCACTGAATT